TTAAAGTCCATTTTAAAGTGAGATATAAGTATTACTATCCCAGCTTTTATTTTTTTATTTCCATTTGCATGAAATATCTTTTTCCATCCCTTTATTTTTAATCTGTGTGTATCTTTTGTTCTGAGGTGGGTCTCTTGTAGATAGCATATATATGGGTCTTATTTTCTTATCCATTTAGCTACCCTATGCCATTTGATTGGAATGCTTAAGCATGTACATTTAAAGTGATTATTGATAGGTATGTATTAGTGCCATTTTATTCTTTTAACTGTTTTGTGTGTGTATGTGTGTGTGTGTTTCTTCTTCTTTTTCTTCTTAAAGCAGGCCCTTTAACACTTTTTGTAATATTAGTATGGTGGTAACAAACTCTTTTAGCTTTTTCTTGTCTGGGAAGCTCTTTATTTCTTCTTCCATTTTAAATGATAGCCTTACTGGGTAAGGTAGTCTTGGTTCTTGCTTTTCATCACTTTAAGTATTTCATGCCGAGACTTCCGGTCAAGATGGCAGTGTAGGTAAAGGTGGTATCGCATCCTCCCACAACCATATCAGAGTTACAACTAAACTATAGAACAACCATAATTCAAAACGACCTGAAATCAAGCTGAATGGAAGTCCTACAACTATGAAATTAAAGCAGCAGCCACATCCAGACTGGTAGGAGGGGCGGAGGCATGACAGGCTGGACCCACATCCACGTGTGGTGGATAAAAATCAGGAGGACACCTTGGCTGGGAAGGTCCTTCCTGAGGACTGAGGGGTCCCCCTCCCATACTAGATGCCCCGCTCAGGGTTCCAGTGCCAGGAAGAGAAGTCCCCATAACTTCTAGCTGGAAAAAAACAGCGGGAAGTGAGGCTCAGGGAAGACACAGCTGGAGCCCCAGGCAGCTCCTTAAAGGGCCCATGCACAGACTTATCAGACTCACTCCCTCTAAGCTTGGAGGGGAGGCAGCTTGAGGGACACCAGAGACGTACAGGGAAGAACTGAGCAGTTTGGCGCTGGAGTGAGGGCTGGAGAGGGGGCTTTCTCCAGGACAAATGTGCTGTCAGAGGCCTTTGTTTTTTTGGTAAGCCCTTCCCTGGGGTGGCAGACAGTTGCCATATCTGGGACTCCAGAAACCTGGCTCACACTAGTAGCCCCGCCCTGGTGATTCCCTGAGGCCCCGCCCCACCCAACTTTCAGGCCCACCCAAGCTGTTGCCACTTGCTTAACCATAGGATTGGCCAGTTTTGGATCCTGCTTCAGGTTTTCCTAAATTCTTTCAAACAAGCAGCATCTGGTCTCAGCTAGCCCCATACCTCTCGTTAAGTAATACACAGAAACAAACACAGGGAGGCAGCCAAAATAAGGAGACAAAGAAACAGGTCCCAAATGAAAGAACAGAACAAAATCCCAAGAAAAGAACTAAGTGAAATGGAGATAAGCAACCTAACAGATGCTGAGTTCAAAATACTGCTTATAAGGATGCTCAGTGAACTTAGTGAGTGACTCAAGAGCGTAAAAAAGGACCAGTCAGAAATGATGGATGCACAGTCAGAAATGAAAGAGGCATTAACTGAAATAAAGAATAATTTATACAGATTCAATAGTAGAGTACGTAAATCCCAGAAGCAAACCATTGATTTGGAATATAAAAAAGTAAAAAACACCAAATCAGAACAGCAAAAAGAAAAAAAAAATCCAAAAAAATGAGGAGAGTGTAAGGAGCCTCTACGACATCTTCAAGCATGCCAACATTCACATCTTGGGGGTGCCAGAAGGAGAAGAGAGAGAACAAGAAATTGAAAACCTGTTTGAAACAATAATGGCAGAAAACTTTCCTAACTTGGTGAATGAAACAGACATACAAGTCCAGGAAGCACAGAGAGTTCCAAACAAGATGAACCCCAAGAAGCCCACACCAAGACACATCATCATCAAAATGCAAAAGGTTCAAGACAAAGAGAGAATCTTAAAAGCAGCAAGAGAAAAGCAGTTAGTTACCTACAAGGGAGTTCCCATAAGGCTGTCAGCTGATTTCTCAAAAGAAACTTTGCAGGCCAGAAGGGAGTGGCAAGAAATATTCAGAGTGATGAAAAGCAAGAACCTACAACCAAGATGACTCTATCCTGCAAAGCTGTCATTTAGAATCGATGGACATATAAAGAGTTTCCCAGACAAGAAAAAGTTAAAGGAGTTCATCACCACCAAACCATTATTATATGAAATGATGAAGGGTCTTTTTGAAGAAGAAGATAAAATCTATGAACAAACAAAATGGCAATGAATACATATCTATCGACAATGGAATCTACAAACAAAATGAACAGGTAGAACAGAAACATTCTCATAGATACAGAGAAGATTTTGTTGGTTGCCAGATGGGAGGGGGGTTGGGGGAATGGGTGAAAAAGGTAAAGGGATTAAGAAGCACAAATTCATTGCTAGACTGACAAACCTCAAAGGGAAAGGAGTTGGGGGGGTGGGAAGATATAAACCAAAGAACTTATACGCATAACCAATAGACACAGACAATAGTGTGGGAAAAGGTGGGAGGGGGGCGGGAGGGGGGAGGAGGGGGTCAATGGGGGGAAAATCAGGAACATCTGTAATACATTCAACAATAAAGATTTAAAAACATAAATAAATAAATAAATAAATATTTCATGCCAATCTCTTTTGTCATAAAATGTTTCTGTTGAGAAATCAGCTGACAGCCTTATGAGAGCTCCCTTCCAGTTAACCTGCTGTCTTCCTTGTAGCTTCTATGATTCTCTCTTTGTCTTTGACCTTTGCTTTTTTAATTATAATGTGTCTTGGGTTGGGCCTCTTTGGGTCCATCTTGTTTTGAACTCTTTGAGCTTCCTGAACTTTTATCTTTTTCATTCACCAGGTTAGGGAAGTTTGGGGTCATTATTTCTTCAAATAGGCTCTTGATTCTTGGTTCTCTGTCTTCTTCTTCTGGTACCTCTATGCTGCAGATGTTGTTATGCTTGGTATTGTTCCAAGGGTCCCTTAAACTATCCTAATTTTTAAAAATTCTCTTCTCTTTATGCTGCTCGGATTGGTGTTTCTTTCTACCTTGTGTTTCAAATCATCGATTCAATACTCTTCTTTATCCAACCTACTATTTATTCCTTCCAGTGTATTCTTCATTTCAGATATTGTGTTTTTTATTTTTTACTGGTCCTTTTTAATGGTTTTTATGTTCTGTTTCATGCTAACCATTATAACCAGTGCTTTGAACTCCACATTTGATCAATTGCTTGCCTTCATTTTATTTAGCTCTTTTTCTAGATATTTCTCCTGTTCTTTCATTTGGGAACTGTTTCTTTGTCTCCCCATTTTAACTGCCTCTTCGTGTTTGTTTCTATATATTAGATATATCTGCTATGACTCCCAATCTTTGTGGGGTTGCCTTATGCAGTAGATATCCTGTGGGGTCCAGTGGTGCAGTCTCCTTGATCACCTGAGCTAGGTGTTCCTGGAATGTCCCTGTGTGGATTATGTAATTTTCCCTCCTGTTGTAATTTTGTCTTGATTGCTATTGGCTGGCCCATTTGTGTGTGGGCCAGCTGACTGTGAGGCTAACCCTCTACCATGGCATGTGAGCTGCTGTGCAGGTGCTGACACATGAAGCAGACTTTGCCTCAGCAAGGTTTGGTGCCCTTTGGATATGTTGCTTGTGAAGCTTATTGGATCCTGCTCTGATGTTGTCTGAAGCTGGCCACTGGGTGTGTTGGTTCTGGGCCTCTTGTGAGAGACTCAGGTGCAGGCCAATGTAAGATGCCGTTTGTGACTGGCCCTAGCTAGGCTACCTGTTTGAAGCTACAGGAAATCCACAGTTTGTTGTTACCTCTGCTTGGCCTAGATGTGCCAGGGGAGGACCAAACTGCACACCAAGACTGGCTTTTTCCAGCACCGGGCCCAAGGACAGGTCAGCAAAAGTCCCAAGGCACCCTGAGATCACCTTTGCCTACCTCCACCTGTCGATTGCCTGTTAGGCTCAGTCACTGAAAGAGCCTCTGGCTGTATTCCTCGGCATGGTATAAGCTCCACCACGTGGGGTAAGAGGGGATCCAGAGGGTGGGGCTCTTGCTTTCTCCCAGGCTGATGCCACATGGAGGGGAGTGTTCCACCGAGGAAAGATGATGTCCACATTGTGGGAGAATGACCCAGCACAGGGATCCTGGCAGCTGTCCCAGACCACAAACCCTGGTCTCTTCCCATGTGACTCTAGTCTCCTTCACTCTCCCTCTGCGAGAGCCCAGGGTGAGGGGCAGTCTCAATGTGACTTCTTCTGTGAATTCTTGGTTATAAGACTTGTCTTCAGCTAATCTTCAGTTGTTGTTCAGAATGATTCTTCTATGATTTAGTTGTGATTCCAGTTTGGTCCTGTCAGGAGGTGAGTGTAGCTTCCCCCTACTCCGCTGTCATCGGGATTTGTAAATTTCTCTTCCACCTTTCCTTTTCCCAGACTTCACCTGAGATTTTTTTCTTTAGCCAACATCCTTTGGCCTTGAACACATTTCCTAACCTTGTCCTTCTCCTCTTTTCTTTCTTTAACGTGCTTAAATTTAAACCATTCTTTGCGACTCTCTTTCCTGGGAGAATCACTGTGAGAAGAGAAGAATGATGTACTGTGGGAAGATGACCCACCTCTCTGGACTGAGTAGTTCTTCTAAGTTACAGCATTTCCCTGATGAGCCCAGTTGCTCTCTCCTGTCTATAGTCCCTTACAAAGTGCACTTCGCCCCTTGGCCAGCATTGCAAGCAGCTGGTGGTTCTCCGCCGGCCACGCCCCCCTTTGCTAGGATCCCTTCCCCAGGAGTTTCATCACTTCCTAGAACAGCCAAACATTTTTGGTATATTTCTCTCAGTTAGTGTTTAACCAAGCACCTGTCTCTAAGGGGTGGGCTGAACTGACAGAAGTTAAAGCCTGAGACTCAGGAGGGCCATTTCACTCCCTGGCTTTGGGAAGAGAAGGAGGTAGCAGTGGCAGGTGCCATAGGAGTGAGACACCATGGAGTCTGGCTTCACCTCCAAGGACACCTATCTGAGCCATTTTAATCCTCGAGATTACCTAGAAAAATATTACAGCTTTGGGTCCACGCAGTCTGCAGAAAACCAGATTCTTAGGTTTCTTCTGAAAAATCTCTTCAATATATTCTGTGTGGGTAAGTTTGTCTGTTGTCTGTGTCTCCTACCCTTGCCCCCAAACGTGAGTCATATAGATAGGACCTTAGGGCATGACTGGGTTTTCTGTCTAGTCACTGTTATTCGACAGGACTGTGGTGTCACTTTCTTATGTAGCAAAGATAAAATTGAATGTTGATAGGGATACTTTACAGTTTACAATGTTGATACAAATATTTATCAACTAATGTTGCTATGGATATTTTAAAGGGATCTTTTGTTTTAATTCTCACCCAAGGATATTTTTTTCATAATTTTTAGAGAGAACGGAAGGGATGGAGGGAGATAGAGAAAGGGAGAGAGAGAGAAGGAGTGATGTGAGAGAGACACATCGATTGGTTGCCTCCCGCACGTGTCCTGACTGGGGTCAGGGATTGAACCTGCAACCCAGGTACATGCCCTTGACCAGGAATCAAACCCTTGACTCTTCCGTATGAGGACTGATGCTCTAACCACTGAGCACACTGGTGACGGCTACAAAGTGCTTTTATGCATTATCTTGTTTGGGCATACAAACGAAAAACCAGAGGATAGGAGTTCTGTCCTTGATTCTACATGGATTTGCCATGTGGCCAGAGCCGGCCATTTAACGGTTGTGATGAAACAATTAAGAAATGGAGCGTCTAATACTCACTCTGTTTCTAACTCAAAGGACTGTTGTGAATATGCATGAGATAAAAACCTCCCAACATATAAAGAACTGTATGCTTTTTGGGTAAAAACATTATGGAAACTCAATTTTTGAAAAAAATTTAACTTCCTCCGAAAGTATTCCTTAATAGTTTAGACCTTCGCTGTGTAGCAGTTTCTCTTGATGAGGGCTATACGCCCGATGTGGATAATTTTTTCCTTCTCCTAGTACTAAAAATATCCTAGCAACATGCCTGCACCCTGAATTGGGGAACAGAAAGTGAAAATCTGTTTTCTAAAAAGACTTTGATAGAAGAGTAGTGAGTTGCAACGGTCTACTTGGTGAGAGAGGTGATCTGTCCCTGGGACTCTCCATCATAATGTTGGTAAAGACCATGCAAATCAGTTTGATGGGTCATCACACAAAGCCCGCCTCCCCTTCCTCGTTCCTTCCTCCAAACCAGCCGGTGTGAAAGGAGACCTCCTGATTGACATTGGCTCTGGCCCCACCATCTATCAGCTTCTCTCTGCTTGCGAATCCTTCAAGACCATCATCGCTACTGACTACACGGACCAGAACCTGCAGGAGCTGGAGAAATGGCTGAAGAAGGAGCCAGGGGCCTTCGACTGGTCCTCAGTAGTGTCCTACGTGTGCGAGCTCGAAGGGAACAGGTAGAGAAACTGGGCTCTGCCTCGGGGCTTTCTTTCTTTTTTTTTTTTTATCCTCACCGGAGGATATTTTTCCATTTTTTGTTCAGGTAGAGTGAGAGGGAGAGAGAGGAACAGAGAGAGAGAGAGAGAAAAACATCGATGTGAAAGGAACACATCGAGTGGCTGCCACCCGCACAACCGACCAGGGCCGAGGACAAACTGCAACCAAGGTACGTGCCCTTAGCGGGAACCGAACCCGGGTCTCTCAGGACCGCAGGCCGACGCTCTAACCGCTGAGCCAAACCGGCCAGGGCATGTCTCGGGGCTTTCTGAAGGGACTCGAGGGACAGTTAGTATTTCAGAACCAAGAATTGTCCTTAGAGTTGAAGTGGAAAAGCAAAGGAGACAGAAAGGGAGAGACCAAAGGGAAATCCAAATGGAGAATGAGAAGTAAGAACAAGGTAGACGTGTGTGTGTGTGTGTGTGTGTGTGTGTGTGTGCGCGCGCACCAGAACGCAGTGAGAGAGCTGGAGGGATGGATACTGAGGCAAGAGAAGCAGACCTTTCCAGGCCTGTGTGTGGGCTCAGTGTGCTGGCCCGGTGCCTTAGGACCTTGCTTTAGGACAACTTCAAGAGGCGAAACCAGCTCCCCACCAGAAGCCTTTGGGTACCAGAGCTTGTGGCCCTGCTGCCATCCTGCTGCTAGCCGTCCAAGCACACGGGACTCTGCTGTGACGGTGGCTCACGCTGACACCACCAGGTGCACCGAAAAGCTATGTTCTTAAACAGAGATCAGCAGCATATAGGGATTATTTGAGAGGAACTTATTACTTCACCATCCATAAAATGAGAACTTTACATACTCACAACTAATGACCCGAATCTGACACTACCCTCTCTACAGTAAACATGCTGACAAATCTAGTTCCCGCGACTGTTTCTCCCCACGCGAGACACTGGCCATCGCCTGCCAGCAGTGGGGGCAGTTCTGCATCTCCGTCTTGCTCTTGTCCCCGTGTGCCTGCACTCTGCTGCCCGCCCACGGGCAGCTCTCCAGCGCTGTGGCTTTGCTGGTAGGCGCACTGCCGAGACCCCAGCACCTCCTCCACAGCACAGAGATACTCCTGCGGCGTTTTTCCTGGATCTACTGGCCCTGTGCTATTTCCTACTTGCTCAGTTTGCTTACCTTCTTCCTCTGCTTTTGTAGTGTGTGTGTGTGTGTGTGTGTGCGCGCGCACGCGCACGCGTGTACACGTTTTCTGTCTTTCCCCACTGCCTTTACCAAGGCTATAATTTTTATTTGAAATCTCTCTCTTCCTTCCCCAATCCACTTTTCCTATATTCCTCTCTTTGCTCATATAATGCACACTTTGCGTTTTGCACAACATCCTCTGTCTTTTCTTTCACCAGGGGAAAACATGTGTGTTTTTAATTAACATATCTCATGATTTGTTCTAAAAAGGGCTATAATTTCCAGGCAAGACAATCACCCTCAAGAAACAAGTATTAACACTTTTGCAATTGGTTAAAGAAGCTTTCTTTCTTTCTTTCTTTCTTTCTTTCTTTCTTTCTTTCTTTCTTTCTTTCTTTCTTTCTTTCTTTCTTTCTTTCACAACCTATAGTGATCACCTATGACGTGCCTCAGCTCCTGGGATAGAATGGTAAGCAAGAGAGGAGGTCCATCTCTTAGCACTTACATCAGGGAAGACAGACAAGGGCCAGATCATTTGGGTCCTCAAGACCAAGTTAAAGATTGTGGACATCAAGTGTAATAGGAGTGCATTAGAGGTATACCCAAAACAGTGTTGTGACCCACTTTGCATTTATAAAGGTCTCTGTGGCTACTGTGTAGAGAACGGATGAGAGGGGATTAGAGTAGAATAAAAGATGCAGAAAGGATACAACTTAAATCCAGGTAAGAGATGAAGGTGGTTTGGACTAGGTGATGGAGAGAGGTAGACGGTTTTAAGATGCATATTTGAAATCGAATGGGTAAGAGTTGGTATCACATATTAATGCTTCCATATGCCTGAACTTGAACAACAGGAGGATTGAGGCAATAGTCCTCACTCTCCGGAGAAAATATAAGATTGTGTGGTCTTCACATGTCTCGAAGGAATATGCTGCCCCGTGCTCTTCGGGAGTGACAGCCAGTTCCTTGTACTCGTACTTACGTTTGGTTCCTTCTGGTCACCAACGGTGTTTATTCCTGAGCCTGTCTCCCTTCAGAAATCAGCTCTACACTCTGCTTCTGTTTCTTTAATCTGCCCATGTTCTCCGACATGTTTGCTAACTTTGAGCTTATTAAGAGTATTCTAAACTCTAGCTTCATTTCTTTACATATCATTGCTACACTGTCTTATTGTTAGTAAACATAGATTGCCAAATGGAAGTAATCAAGGTGACTCATTGGTGGCACAATTCTTTATAATACAGCCGAAGAATAAACTGGGAGTTTCATATTTTGTTCCCAATTAACCATTTTTTGCTACATGCAGAGTAACTAAATTTCCACTGGGTTTACACTAATCTTTTATCCCATTTATCCCATGAAATCAGATAGAGTAAATCTTCCAACTTTGTTCTTTTTCAAGATTATTTTGGCAAGTTTAGTACCATTTATTTTAGAGTAAACTTGTCACAATTTTGCTCCAAAACCCTGCTAAAACTTTGGTTGTGATTCCTTTGAATTTACGGATCAGTTTAGGAGAATGGATATATGAACCCTTCAGTCTAGGAGCCTGGATTATTTCTCCATTTATTTAGGATTTCAGTTTCTCTCAGCAATGTTCTGTAGTTCTCATATCTTGCATTTATTTTGTTAACATAGTCCTTTGTGTTGTTTTTGATGCTACTGTTAAATGTATTTACTTTTTTTTATTTGTATTTCATTTGCTACTATATAGAAAGACAATTGATTTTTGCATACTGGCCTTGTGTTCTGTGATCTTGCTGACTTCATTAATTAATTTTATGAGTGTTTTTGGTAGATTGCGTAGGCTTCTTTCTTTCTTTTTTAGAATATACATTAGACATTTATGTAAAAGGTATTCCATTTTTCAAAGAAATGTTCTCTAGTTCCTGTCTTTGCTATTTTCTTCAGAGCAATAAACAGTAATTGCTACTCTCACAGATAAGGGGCTCCATTGTGTTGGGCAGTAATTATAACTTTCTCTTTTAAGTCATTATCATCTCCAAACCCCCGTTTTCAATCTACCGCACAGCCTCACTGCGCCGTCTCACAGTGAAAAGATGCTCTACTCAAATCTGAAGAGCCACAAAAGCTAGAGGCCCGAGGATGTTTGGGTGCTGATTTAGTAACTGTTGACTGGCACCAACTGTCTATTTATTCCTATTATTAAAACTGCAACAATAGAATCGAAAGCTACTTTAATGAAAAAGGAACTGAGGAATGAGATAATTAAATATAACTAAATACACTTCAAATATAAATACTATGTATTTCCTGATTAGTATCAGGTAAATATCTAAACTATCCATCCTGAATTCTGGTCTAAGAAAAAGGTCAGAGACAATCACAAAGACGGTGTTTCCGATTATTAGGTCTATTTTAAAAACAATGAGGTCCTCTGGGTCAATCACTTCAGTCTTGTCTTTTAGCAGAGATTTCTGTTGGTCATTTGTAGGTGATCATTTATGTCTGCACCTTGTAGTCTACACTGCCTTTGCTATTATCGTTGGATCCGTGTGCGGTTTTTCTACGCTACATACACTAACAAAGGGGGAGGTCACAGGGTATAGGTATGGCTCCAGGAACTTCTTGTGGACGCACAGCAGAACTGGAATGAGGATGCGAGGACTGCACACCCTGTGCCAGGCTGGAGCGCCCGAACGTGAGAGCCCAGGGCAGGAGAGCCGGGCACAGCCCATCCCCGCCCAGCCCTCCCCTGCAGGCCCTGCCGCGCACCAAGCCCAAGTGGGTCCACGGGGTTTCTTAAGTACATTCTCATATCACCTGCAAATTAAAAGGTTTACTTCTAGCCCAACGTTATGCTTTTTATTTACTTTTTCGGGCCTATTACAGTGGCTAGGACTTCCAAAACAATGTTGAGTAGAAATTATGAGAGCAGACATGTGTACTTTTTTCCATATGTTAGGAAAACATGTTTAATGATGCATCATTAAGAATGATGTTAGGCCCTGGCCGGTTTGGCTCAGCGGTTGGAGCGTCAGCCCACAGTCTGGAGAGGCCCGGTTCGGTTCCTGCTAAGGGCACATGCCTCAGTTGCAGTTTGTCCCCGGCCCTGGTTGGGGTTGTGTGGATGGCAGCCAGTCGATGTGTCTCTCTCACATCAATGTTTCTTCACTTTCTCTCTTCCTCCCTCTCTCCCTCTCATTCTATAAATGCAAAAAGTGTCCTCAGGTGAGGATTAAAAAATAAAAGAATGATGTTAGCGCCCCCGTTATGACTCAGCGGTTAAGCATCAACCCATGTACCAAGAAGTTGCCAGTTTGATTCCAGGTCAGGGCACATGCCCAGGTTGTGGGCCAAATCCCCAATGGGGGGCATGCAGGAGGTGGCTAATCGATGTTGTCTCTTATCGATGTTTCTACCTCTCTCTCCCTCTCCCTTCCTCTCTCTCTAAAACCAATAAAGAAAAAAAAATTTTTAAAAAAAGAATGATGTCAGCTCTGGGTTTTTCATAGATATTATTTATCAGACTAAGTTCCCTTATAATTCCTAGTTTCTTGGGACTTCTAGACCAAATGTTGAATTTTGTCAAATGATTTTTTTGTATTTGTTGAGAAATAGTCATGATTTTTCTTCTTTATTCTAAAAATTTAAATTACATTGGATGATTCTGACCTAAACCCCTTGGTAATAAAGTATTATCCTTTTTTTTTTCTTTGTATCTATATTTATGAGAGATATTGAGCTCTAATTTTAAATATGCTTGGCAGATTTTTATATCAGCATGATGTTAGAGTCATATACTGAGTTCAGAGTGTTTTTTCCTCCTCTATTGTTTAAAAAAGTTTGAATTTCTTCCTTAAATAAC